TAAACAAACCGAACGGTGAAGCTAAGTATCTGAATGCTACTAAACTAACCGAACGGTGAAGCTAAGTATCTGAATGCTACTAAACTAACCGAACAGTAAAGCTAAGTATCTGAATGCTACTAAACTAACCGAACGGTGAAGCTAAGTATCTGAATGCTAATAAACAAACCGAACGGTAAAGCTGAGATAATGAAATGAACACATGGACTACATAATACATATCACATAAAACACAACATATTACAATGAAAATACAAGACTGCATGGCCTCCTTTCACATAGTGAAGAACACAATATAGTTACTAGTCTCTTATTTGTCCTAATCGGCTTCCTTCACTCACCAGCTCTAGCCTCAAAACGTAGGGTTTAAAACTTCAGACTCTCTATAAATGTACAAACTAACACATGGAGTAATTCTAATGTAGTATACAGTATATGAAACGAGAAATCAGCCCTACAAGAGTAATTCCAATGTAGTATACAGTATATTATACGAGAAATCAGCCCTACAAGAGTAATTCCAATGTAGTATACAGTATATTATACGAGAAATCAGCCTTACAAGAGTAATTCCAATGTAGCATACAGTATATTATACGAGAAATCAGCCCTACAAGAGTAATTCTAATGTAGTATAAAGTATATGAAACGAGAAATCAGCCTTACAAGAGTAATTCCAATGTAGTATATAGTATATTATACGAGAAATCAGCCCTACAAGAGTAATTCCAATGTAGTATAAAGTATATGAAACGAGAAATCAGCCTTACAAGAGTAATTCTAATGTAGTATACAGTATATTATACGAGAGATCAGCCTTACAAGAGTAATTCTAATGTAGTATAAAGTATATGAAACGAGAAATCAGCCTTACAAGAGTAATTCTAATGTAGTATACAGTATATTATCTAATGTAGTATACAGTATATTATACGAGAAATCAGCCCTACAAGAGTAATTCTAATGTAGTATACAGTATATTATACGAGAAATCAGCCTTACAAGAGTAATTCTAATGTAGTATAAAGTATATTATACGAGAAATAAGCCTTACAACATAAGAAATAGTATGTTTCTGAATGAGATCTGTTGAAGATTATTATATTTCAGATCGCGTAACTAATTAATTCGCTGAATAATGTGTTCAAAATATTTACTTACAAATTATGAGTACAATCAGTTCAAAATCTTTACCTATAAATTATGAAAACATATATATTATGAAAACTATATTATTTAAGTCAGAGGTTCCTTCTTTATAGATTATTTTACTATGTTATTTAAGTTAGAGTTTCTTTCTTTAGAGGTTATTTTACTATATTATTTAAGTTAGAGATTCTTTCTTTATAGATTATTTTACTATATTATTTAAGTTAGAGTTTCTTTCTTTAGAGGTTATTTTACTATATTATTTAAGTTAGAGTTTCTTTCTTTAGTGATTATTTTACTATATTATTTAAGTTACAGGTTCTTTCTTATTTCAGAAGTATACGATAAAAGTCGTTGTTGTTCAAGCTCAACGCCACTCAAAGAGCTATCTCTACTCTGTATCTCGCGGATAACACGATATTTTCGTTGTCTCTGCGACTAATGATGATCTCTGACTTTGTTGGGGGTGAAAGATATCGAGAAGAATTAAATCGGATTGTAGGCATTTGAGTTTGACTGTTTTTCGACGCTACGTGTGTTAAAAGGTTAACACTCTGACTTTAACAGCCTGTAGATGGCTCGAGAAATTACATTTGTCGCTATTTTTACTTCTTTCATGTACCGAATCAAGATGAAACGAGCTCAGTAGTGGAAGTAGACATTTTGAAAGATAAGTATCTTTTCATTGTTTGTTTGTTGGTTTTTTGAATTTCGCGCAAAGCTATACGAGGGCTATCTGCGCTAGCCGAAACCCTAATTTAGCAGTGTAAGACTAGAGAGAAGGCAGCTAGTCAACACCACCCACTGCCAACTCTTGGGCTACTCTTTTACCAACGAATAGTGGAATTGACCGTAACATTACAACGCCCCCACAGCTGAAAGGGCGAGCATGTTTGGTGGGACGGTGATTCGAACCCGTATATTTTCATTCGTGTTCTAACGCAAACTGTAAATAAATAGCTTGTTATACTTTTCTTAGTATAGAGATAACTTGCTACAGGAAACATCTTTGGTTAAAGTTTTTGGTTGATTATAAACAGTATACCACAAAATTTTGGTTTTCACGCGCACCTCTGAACTCAACACTGCGGTGATTTGAGATAATTGACAATCCACATCGTTTTTTGGGTGAAGATTCGTAAGATGTACAGTTAAATTTTAGCTAATTTCCGGTAAATGAGGCTATCTCAAGCTTGAAAGTCTATACAGGAAATTGTCATTTTTCCACGCGATATTAGGAGGTGCATACGCCAACGTATTAGTTATTTTTTTACACTAATATCCGAGGTTCAGAAAATAGTTCTTGTTGTGGAATGTTTAAATCAATTTTGTTTTAATATAAATTTGTCATTTTCTTCCCACAAACCTCGTCAGTTTTTCTTCGTCCTAGGAAATGCTTGGCGACGTGAGGGGGAAGAATATTGTACACCAATGCCTCGTTTTTCCTGCGTATGTCTGCTACTTTTTCCTTCTGTTCTTCAACAGCTTTCTTCCACAAGAACAGTCGTCGAGAAGTGAGTTCCAGCTGGAAAATACCCGAAATTAAATTAGGTGTAGAATTTTTAAATAAACTGATAAAAAGTTATCTAATTTTTGCATAGAACTGTGTACAAAACCACAAGTGTTGCATGCTTTCCATCTTCATTCCTTTCAGATATGTAGCTTTTTGTTCACATACAAAAAAAACAAACAACAAACATTCCCTGTTAATTTAGAA